CCAGGAATGTGGAAAGTGTGGCCCAAGGGCTACTGGGAGCATGGTCAGGAATGATGGGGGGTGTAATCAAGCTCCCCATGGAGGGCCTTTCTATTCCTTCTCTGCTTAAAATGGCATAGGCTGTGGCCAGGGATGATAGAGATTGCAGTCCAACACCATCTGAGGAGCCCACTCCTGCTTTAAGCAATCCTGGAAGCATCCCTTCGCACAGCACATGAATACGGATAGGATTGGCTACACAAGTGTCAACCTTGTGGCTTTTCCAAGCGTTTTGGACTTTATTGCCATTACAAGCTGGCAATAGAGCAGTGTTCCTCAACCTTCCTAATGCCGTGACCCCTTAATACAGTTCCTCAAGTTGTGGTGACCCCCAACCATAAAATTATTTTCATTTCTACTTCATAACTGTAATTTTGCTACTGTTGTGAATTGTAATGTAAATATCTGATATGCAGGATGTATTTCCATTTCCTGGACCAAATTTGGCACAAATACCTGATATGCCCAAATCTGAATACTGGTGGGGCTGATGGGGAATTCATTTTGTCATTTGGGAGTTGTAATTGCTGGGATTCATAGTTCACTTACAATCAAGAACCCCACCAATGATAGAATTGGGCCAAACCTTCCACATAGAACATGCATGCCTTGAAGGGACTCGCTGGCATGAGCCTCCCTCCAGCCTTACACGCTCTCCCTCCCTCGCATATGCACATCACGCTGGCATACTCCAAGTACGCCTGCTTTTCTCTCCCCACTTGGGGTCTCAGAAACATCCCTCCCCTTGGCTGAGAGGCTGGTCAATCACAGCGGAAGAAGGCTTTTGGTGGGAGGATTCACCATCTGTTTCCAAAATGGAAGAGAAGGACAGGCTGAGAGATATTCAGCCTTCTCTACCAAAGAGGTTCCTAAGACCATCAGAAATATTCCCTGGATCTAGACACTATACTCCTACTGATGCAGAAATATGGCCTGTATCAATAGGAGTATAGTGTCTAAAAGGTAAAGGTAAAGGTTGTCCCCTGACACTAAGTCCAGCTGTGTCTGACTCTGGGATGTGGTGCTCATCTCCATTTCTAAGCCGAAGAGCTAGCATTGTCCGTAGACACCTCCAAGGTCATGTGGCCGGCATGACTGCATGGAGTGCCGTTACCTTCCCAACGGAGCGTACCTATTGATCTACTCACATTTGCATGTTTTCGAACTGCTAGGTTGGCAGAAGCTGGAGCTGATAGCAGACGCTCACGCTGCTCCCCGGAATCGAACCTGCGACCTTTCAGTCAACTAGCTCAGCAGCACAGCGCTTTAACCGACTGCACCACCAGGAGCAGTATAGTGTCTAGATCCAGGTAAGTCATGCTACCAGTCTCTTCTGCCTTTTTTAGACCACACCTGGAATATTGTGTCCAATTCTGGGCACCACAATTGAAGGGAAATGTTGACAAGCTGGAATATGTCCAGAGGAGGGTGACTAAAATGATCAAGGATCTGGAGAACAAACCCTATGAGGAGCGGCTTAAAGAGCTGGACATGTTTAGCCTGAAGAAGAGAAGGCTGAGAGGAGATATGATAGCCCTGTATAAGTATGTGAGAGGAAGTCAAAGGGAGGAGGGAGCAAACTTGTTTTCTGCTGCCCTGGAGACTAGGACACGGAACAATGGCTTCAAACTACAAGAAAGGAGATTCCATCTGAACATTAGGAAGAACTTCCTGACTGTGAGAGCTGTTTGGCAATGGAACTCTCTGCCCCGGAGTGTGGTGGAGGCTCCTTCTTTGGAAGCTTTTAAACAGAGGCTGGATGGCCATCTGTCGGGGGTGCTTTGAATGCAATTTTCCTGCTTCTTGGCAGGGGGTTGGACTGGATGGCCCATGAGGTCTATGATTCTATGTGTTTTCTGATGGTCTTTGGCAACCCCTCTGAAACCCAAGGAGCCTGACCCCCAGGTTGAGAAACTCTGCAACAGAGGCTTCTGGGAGTTCTAGGACCAAACATCTGGAGGGTCACAAGTTTGACATACTTGGTTATGGCATTTTGGAGGGGAGCCTTTCTGGACTATATTGAGGCCAAGAGGAAACAACTGGTGTTAAGTCAGCTTAATATATTTCTGCCCAAAACAGGCATGCTGGTTGAAATAAATAATAACCAACTCAACAACTAACGACAGTGGGCTAAGGTCTTGACTTGGGTTGACATGAGTGCATTGGGAAGGTCAACACTCCCTCTGATTCCCGAATGCTCAAAGAGCCCTCCCGCCTTCTCAACTGACTCAAGGTCTGCTTTCTTTGAAACTCCTCCACCGTTTAAACCACAACTGGGCAAAAGGTAAAGCCGGTAGCAAGACTGGACAAGGTCAGGAGCCTCCCACTTGCTCTTGCTGACAATAAAAGTCCATTCCTCCCCCACCCTACATTATATTGCCGAAACGAAGGCAGTCTGGGGAATAATTCGGTGCAGCCTGTGTGCTTAAGGGCCGTCAGCTCTGTTCAATTCCGATAAACAGCAATTCCAAGGCTCAAAACATCTCTTCTTTCTGTTCCAGGCGCTAGGGTTCTAGTTGGCTGTGTTTGGTGATTTTCCACGCTCTTGATTTATTCAGTCTGAACTTCAAACAGGCAATCCAAGCTGCTGGATTTATTTTTGGCACATACATTTTGGTTCTTGAAGGTTGCTCCTTTAAAGTTCAGGCTAAAGTAGAAATGGGCAAACTTGGGCCCTCCAGGTGTTTTGGACTTCAACTCCCACAATCCCTAACAGCCGGTAGGCTGTTAGGGATTGTGGGAGTTGAAGTCCAAAACACCTGGAGGGCTGAAGTTTGCCCATGCCTGGCAGTCACCGTCCCATCTTTAAAGGAAAATGGGTTCCCTGGGATTGCAAAGACAACTATCCACCACTGTTGCAGTAATATAAACGTTTTGAATGTCATTAAACATATATTTAGTTCAATGTATCAATAGGTAGTTATACAAACACAAATAAAGCCAATGCTACACAATAAGACATAAGACTGTTACATTCACCGTAAAAAAATATTTTCTTATTCTTCTCTTGAAAGATAAGTTGATTCCTCAACACAACAATTGTTCTTATTTCTTTACTAAGGATGAGTAGACTCCAAATCCACAACCGGTGTCGACTCTAGAAAGTCTTTGTCAGGTGGTTGGGGACTTATAACAAAGCTCAGCAATTGAGAAATGTAGTCCATTATTTGTGTTGGTTTTTTTGAATATATGGAGCCTAAAGGGAACATAAATAATGGCTAGTGGTTATGTGTATTTTAAATAACCTTTAGCTACTACAGATGTTCCCTTTAGGATCCATATATTCAGAAAAACAACACACATAACAGACTTCGTTTCTCAATTGTTGACCTTTATGATACAGTAGAGTCGTGCTCATTCGAAACAAATGGGCCGACAGAATGGCAGATAAATAAAAATGTCGAATAATACTGAAGTCTCCTACTGTTACCCGTCCGACACGGAGTTAGACACCTAGAATAGTAACAACAGGGACTCAAAGGGTTAAGGCAAGGTAACACGTCAGGGCTAGAGTGGCACAGCAGGAAGTGCGCGGATGCGGAAGAGGAGCGTGGAAATCACAGAGGGAAGCAGGGAGAATGCTTCCGCTTCCAGTCCTGCCTGTTTTCCTGCTTTCCTCCTCCCTCCTCCTCCTCCTCGTCTTATCTTTTTCACTTATTGGGAATGGAGAGAGAGTTGGGGAGCATTCCTTTAATTGAAGGGGAAATGCTGGAGGAAAGGCGGCGTCGGATAAGATGGAATGTCGGATAAGGAAAGGTCGGATAAGCGAAGGTTGGATAAGTAAGGTCTGATAAGCGAGACTCTACTGTAAGTACCCAACCACCTGACGAAGACTCTCTAGAGTCGAAACCGGTTGTGGATTTGGAGTCTACTTATCCTTAGTAAAGAAATAGGAACAATTATTGTGTATGAGAAGACGAGACAACTCGTCTTTCAAGAAAATAATAAGAAAATTCTTTTTACTGTGAATGTAACAGTCTTATGTCTTATTGTATAGCAATGACTTTATTTGTGTTTGCATACCTACAGTAGAGTCTTGCTTATCTGACATAAACGGGCCAGCAGAACATCGGATAAACGGAAATGTCGGATAATACGGAGTCTCCTACTGTTACCCGTCCGACGTGGTGCTAGACGCCGAGAATACGAACAACAGGGACTGCTGCCCTCTCCTTTTTGCCTTGTCTTTTATTCATGTTGTATTTTGAAATGGTCATATGACTTTTCAAATAAATAAATTATTATTATTATTAACAACAGGGACTCAAAGAGTTAAGGCAAAGCAACGCCTCGGGGATAGAGTGGCCCAGCAGGAAGTGCCCGGATGCGGAAGAGGAGCGTGGAAATCACAAAGGGAAGGAGGGAGGACGCTTCAGTTTCCGGTCCTGCCTCTTTCCCCCTTTCCTCCCTCCTCCTCCTCTTGCATTTTTCACTTATTGGGAAGGGAGAGAGAGTTGGGAAGAGCTCTTTTAATTGAAGGGGAATAAAAGGGGCTGTCGGATAAGTGTCGGATAAGACGGAATGTTGGATAAGCGAAGGTCGGATAAGTGAGACTCTACTGTATATGGATTCTAAAGGGAACATATATAGTTGCGAAAATCTGTATGTACTTTAAATATATGTCCCCTTTAGGATCCATATATTCAGAAAAACAACACAAAAACTATATTTCTCAATTGTTGAGCTTTATGATAAGTACCCAACCACCTGACAAAGACTCTCTTGAGTCGAAACTGTTTGTGGATGTGGAGTGTACTCATCCTTAGTAATAACAACAATTATTGTGTATGAGAAGAGGAGTCAACTCATCTTTCAAGAGAAGAATGAGAAAATTCTTTTTACTGTGAATGTAACAGTCTTATGTCTTATTGTAGAGCAATGGCTTTGTTTGTGTTTGTATAACTACCTAGCTTTGAAGTAATATTGATGCATTGAACTAAATATATGTTTAATGACATTCAAAACTTTTGTATTACTGTAACAGTGGATACTTGCCTCTGTACTCACCATCCCATCAACATGGAACCCAACAGCAGTTGCTGGCTCTACTTTAAAGGAGGAGATATATGAAGAGATCCCACCAGGCTGAATCAGATCTGCTCACCTCTGATTTCGAAGACCTGCAAAGATCATGGATAAGGGATGGTGGGCAGTGTGTGAACAAAGCATTCTTTTTCGTGGAGAGACTTAGAGCTGAGAGAATGTTATTTTTTGGACTAGAACTCCCAACATCCTGGGAGTTGTAGTTCAAAAATAACCTTCTGAAGCTAGAGGTTCAGATAAAGGAGCAGTGTTTCACCCAGTCCCTCCACCTGTTCAGGCACAATAAGTGTGACGGAGGATACAAGCCACAGTCCCTCTTTGTGGTCACAGACAAACGTGGCCACCTGAGATCAAGTGTTCTATCTCCTTAGCCGCCATGGCACGGATGCACCCAGAGTGGTGCAAGTAAGGAAACCAGTGCGTGGGCTCCTCTCTACCTCCAGTCTTTGTCACTCTTCTTTTTGACACAACTTGCGTTTCACTTTGGCCGTCATGTACAGAGCGGTGAGGCTGCAGCAACACACCTGCAGAAGGCACAGGGCGGAAAAGAGCGGGGCTAGGCCGCCGTGGAGCCGGGAGTAAATGGGCCTCCTTGTCTCGTAATCCAGAAGCACAGCCTCCACCTGGGTGAGCGTGCAGAGAATGAGGAAGACGTGGAAGATCTGGTGGCCCTGGCCCACAAAGTGGCACTTACCCGGGAACCACTTTTCGGGGTACGGGTAGGCAAAAAAGAAGGCCCCGATCAGGAAAAAAAGGACGTGGCACTTGTGGTACAAAAGAGCCAGATCCTCACCTCCAGATGCAGAGGAGGTGTAAATGCGGTGGAGCACTGGACTGATGTCCAAGGCGTAGGCCACAGCCGAGGGCATCTCTTGGCACAGCCTGCCCAGCAGTGAAGAGAGGTGCGGGCACCGGTATTTGGCATAGCAGGAGCCGGCGCAGGACAGCCATGCCAGCAAAACAGCTCCCGGGATGTAGAAGCTGGCAATCCGCGTGTACCACTCGGGCTCGATGGCATAATAGTAGTGCACCAAGGCGCTACTGTACTGGTAGGTCGCGACGCCCACGTAGTCCAAGAAGAAGAAGGCGTAGTGCCAGAACTCGGACTTGGCCTGCAAGAGGTGGGCCAAAGTGCTGAAGGTGGAGTAGACGACGGAGGAGACCGCGATGACAAAAAGGGGTTGCGTGTGGGGGTCTCCCAGGAAGTCCACGGCCCGAGAGAGCTGCCAGAACCGCACCGCTAGGACAAGGGCGGCCACCAGGTGCGTCCAGACGTTGACAGCCTCGTTGTGCCGCTGAAAGAGAGACAGGAAGTAATACCGCCAGGTCCGGTGGAGGGGCCGGTAGCCGGCGTGGATGTAGGGCTTCTGGAAGACTCGGGGCACGTCCGAGGCCCCCACGGTGCACGAGGAAGGGGGCAGCGCCTCCTCCAAGAGACGAGGGACCCTCCTCAAGTGCTGGACGTTGAGGAAAAGGTGGCCGAGCTTCTCAGACACAATCGTCGCCATGACCGGAAAGAGACACCCTCTGGAGGTCACAGAAGGCCCTTGAGGAAAGAAAAGAGGACATTTGGTCTGAGATAGTTTGGGTTAAAATTGCACAATGGTGGTTAGGAGCAACCCATGGAGAGCAGAAAGATGTAGCTCTTGCAGGACGAAGGTCCCACTTATTCAAGAGGAGATGCTCAGCAATGTAACTTTTACTCTGATGCCCTGCATCCTGACCAGGAGAATACAGAAATACAGAAGGGCTTCCTTCCCAGTAAACAGGTCTGCATGAGAAATATGTTGGGTTTCATCCTTCGACTACACAAGTCTCTTGTGTCACCAAGCTTCCAGACCTCAATAAGCAGATAGACTAGAGCAATGTATCTCAACCTTCCTAATGCCACAACCCCTTAATATAGTTCTTCATGTTGTGGTGACTCCAGCCATAAAAATATTTTCATTGCAACTTCATAACTGTAATTTTGTGATTGCTACGAACCGTAATGTAAATATTTGATACAGTAAAGGTTTTCCCCTGACATTAAGTACAGTCATGTCCGACTCTGGGGGTTGGTGTTCATCTCCATTTCTAAGCCAAAGAGCCGGCGTTGTCCACAGACACCTCCAAAGTCATGTGGCCAGCATGACTGCATGGAGCACCCTTACCTTCCTGCTGGAGCGGTACCTATTGATCTACTCAAATTTGCATGTTTTCGAACTGCTAGGTTGGCAGAAGCTGAGCCTAACAGCGCGTGCTTACACCGCTCCCCGGATTCGAACCTGCGACCTTTCGATCAGCAGTTCTGCTTAACCCACTGCACCACTGGGGGCTCCCAATATCTGATATGCAGGATGTACTTTCATTCAGTAGACCAAATTTGGCACAAATACCCAATACTCCCAAATTTGAATACTGGTAAGGTTGGGAGGGGATTGAGTTTGTCATTTGGGAGTTGTAGTTGCTGGGATTTATAGTTAACCTACCATCAAAGAGCACAGCTGAACTCCACCAATGAACCAAACTTGCCACATAGACCTCCAGAAAATACTAGAAGGGTTTGGTGGGCATTGACCTTGAGTTCTAGAGTTGTCGCTCAGCGTTTCTTACATCCAGAGAGCACTGTCAACTCAAACAATTATGGATCTGGAGCAAACTTGGCATGGATACTCAATATCCCCAAATTTGAACACTGGTGGAGTTGGGGGAAAATAGACCTTGGCATTTGGGAGTTGTAGTTCACCTACAATCAAAGAACATTCTGAACCTTGTCAACAATAGAATTGGGCCGAATTTCCCATACAGAACCCCTATGACCAACAGAAAATTCTCTAACAACCCTCGCGACCCCCCCCCCCCCCCCCCCCCCCCCCGGATCCCAACCCACAGGTTGAGAAATGCGGGACTAGTGATAGGATTTGGCTGAGGGATTCCGCCCCCACATTCCTATGCATGTTTACAAAAAGGGCTTTGTCTTTCCTCCTCCTTTTTGTCACTGTCTCCTCCCCCTATGAAGATGTAGCAATGGAATTTCTGTGAGTGAACTTCCTCTTTAAAGGTATTTTTATTGCCCTGGGCTGGCCATGTGACAATCCTCCATTGTCTCTTCTGCTTTTTCTTCCTTCCAGTGAGGATGCATTTTGCCTCTCTTTAGGCAAAATGTAGCTACATGGATTTTTTATTTTACTTTTTACCCTTTTACTTCTTTAGAAGATAAGATTTAGTAAGCTAGTTAGCCTCAATATTTTTTCGGTCTAGAATGTATTTATTTTACTTCAATAAATATTTTTGAACCTAAAGTTCTGACTTTGCAATCATGTGCCATCTTAAGAATAGAAGCTTATCCCAGTTTCACCACATGTACTGTAGTTTTACTTATTCTCCTTTTGGCTGAGGCAGAAAACATTTTGTAAGAAAGTTCTTAGTTCACAGCTGTACAATTTCTTTTATGAAAAAAATGACTGTCTAATCTTGATTTTTGGCTCCTTTGAGCAACTCGGCCTCATTCTTCCTGGAAACGCCTTCCTTTTTGCTTCACATTCTCAAAGACATCTTATCATCTGTCGCCAGATGCAACCAACACAGAGGCCCAGACCAGAACACCAAAGGCCAGGAAAGCCGGAGCAAAATCATCCTGAGGCCGAGATCATTACAAAAATAAACAAACATGGTTTTGCAATGCACAGAAATGGGAAAAAGGAAGAGTTCAGAAAGTTACTCCAAAGGCAGCTGCAAATAGTAGTCTAGCCTCTGGACCAAAGGAGGTCTGCAGTTCACCAAGTGCAGCAGCTCTCTGGGCAGGAGTGGACCAAGATGTTGTGTTGCCTGAGGCAAAAGATGATGATGATGATAGAAGTGCAAAGACTCTGGCACAAGCCGGTCAAGGTAGTCCCAGTGGTGATTGGCACACTGGGTGCAGTACCTAAAAACCTTGGCCTGCACTTAAAAACAATCAGCGCTGACAAAATCACCATCTCTCAGCTGCAAAAGGCTTGGATCTGCACACATTATTCACCGATACATCACATAGTCCTAGACACTTGGAAAGTGTCCGATATGTGATCTTGTTTGCTGTGTACTCATCTTGTTATGTATCAAATAATAATAATAATAACAACAACAACAACAGAAACAGAGCCCCCGGTGGCGGCGCAGTGGGTTAAAGCCCTGTGCCGGCAGGACTGAAGACCGACAGGTCGCAGGTTCGAATCCGGGGAGAGGCGGATGAGCTCCCTCTATCAGCTCCAGCTCCTCATGCGGGGACATGAGAGAAGCCTCCCACAAGGATGATAAAAACACCAAATCATCCAGGCGTCCCCTGGGCAACATCCTTGCAGGCGGCCAATTCTCTCACAACAGGAGCGACATGCAGTTTCTCAGGTCGCTCCTGACACAACAACAAAAAAAAAAAAACAAAAAAAACAAAACAGAAACAACAGGCTAGTTAAAGGGCCTATTAAAAATGACAACTGGCTGGAAGCTCTGAAAGAAATCTGCTTCTGACAGCAGATTAAAATTATCACTTTTGAATGCTCTTCTTGTTTGTTTGTCTAAACAGCAGTGTATGCATGGATTAAACTAATGCCTGGTGTAAAAGAGACGTAGTTCTGTCCCAACCAAACCCTGCTTTTGATTATTAAGTGTTTTAAAAAAACCAAAAACAAAGGAACTCCAATTACTTAAAGCTTGTCGTCGATGACTTTGTCAGAGCGGAAAAATCCAACACAAACAACAAATAATGGAAACGTAAATATGAAGAGTGGGTGTTTTTTGTTTTTTGCAGGCAATGGGAACTTTCCAACCCAAAAGTATTTGTTGCTCATTAATGCTCACCCAAACAAACCGTTCCATCAAGTTGAGAAGAGAAAGAGGTTTTCTCCTAACACATGAACAATAAGCCGACCCAAAAATAAACGTTTTCTAGCTTAGTGTCAATAGAGTTGGAAGAGACCTCAAGGTCCATCCAGTCCAACCTTTTGCTCTGCAGGAACACACAACCAAAGCACTCCCAACAGATGGCCATAAAGATTTTGTTTCAAGCCCTCCAGAGAAGGAGACTCACACCATGCCAATTAGCTTCCGAGCACAATTCAAAGTGCTGGTGTTAACCTATAAAGCCCTAAACGACTCCGGCCCAGTTTACCTGTCCGAACGTATTCTCCCCTATGAACCATCTAGGTCAGGGGTCCTCAAACTAAGGCCCGGGGGCCGGATGCGGCCCTCCAAGGTCATTTACCCGGCCCTCACTCAGAGTCAACCTAAGTATGAAACTACTTGAAAGCACACAATAACAACAACAATCCTATCTCATCAGCCAAAAGCAGGCCCACACTTTCCATTAAAATACTAATAAGTTTATATTTGTTAAAATTATTCTTAATTTTAATTATTGTATTGTTTTTTTAATGTTTTTGCACTATAAATAAGATATCGTATTTTTTTCAAATTATAATCTGGCCCACCAACAGTTTGAGAGACTGTGACCTGGCCCTCTACTTAAAAAGTTTGTGGACCCCTGATCTAGGTTGTTAAGATCGTCTGGAGGGGCCCTGCTCTCGGTCCCACCGGCCTCTCAGGCGCGTCTGGTGTGGACGAGGGACAGGGCCTTCTCGGTGGTGGCCCCTCGACTCTGGAACTCTCTCCCACTGGAGATCAGAACTGCCCCCTCCATTCTGTCGTTCAGAAAACGGTTGAAAACCTGGCTATGGGGTTTGGCTTACGACGAGTGAATCAATATTTCTGTGATTGGATAGATGACGATGAATGATGGACAACGAATTCCCTATGACGACTGACCGTTGTTATTATGTGATTGCATTTTGCTATTATAACGTTTTAATTGAATATGCCATATGATGTTTTTAATGATTGTTTTGTGATTTTATTGTTGGAAACCGGCCCGAGTCCCCCGATAGATAAAAATAAATAAATAAATAAATAAATAAATAAATAAATAAATAAATGTAGATCAGGAAAGGGCAAACTTGGGTTCCCCAGATGTTTTGAACTCCCACAATTCCTAACAGGCTACCGTGCTTGATGTAGACCACCTGGATGGAAACGAGATGTCAACAATGCACTCATTGGACAGAGCTTTCTCCAAATGTTTTCCAAAACTGATCCACCTCTTTCGTCAGAGGCCACTATGATCTTACAAGCCCCTTCTACAGTGGCATTTACAATCCATATTATCTGCTTTAAACTGGGTTGTTGACTCATATAATCCAGCTCAAAGCAGATCATGTCGATTATCTGCTTTGATCATCTGGATCACATAGCAGTGTAGAAGGGGCCACAGTCTTCTTTCCAAGCTTCCGTTACCCTGCTAAATGGAGTCACATCAGCTCTTGGAAGACATATGGGTGACAGCCATGCTTTAGACTTCTCTGTGCAACCTTTTAGTATGGGGGTTTTCAAAAAGGAAGGCATTTCTACAGCTTTGGGCTGGAGATAAGAGGCTGAATTCGACAAACCTGGAACAATGCAACTTGTGTGATTTGTGCTTTGGCAGAGAAATCCCATTATCTGTAAAGCATTGCGTTTTCCATCTTTTGGAAACTT